ATGATGTTCCATGATACATTTGGTAAATTAAAGTCACCCAACACAATCATTGAATCAGAGGGTTTAATCATTGAATTAATTGATTTCAGTAAAGATACATACAGTGAAGTACCCCCGCTTAAGTACCTAACCCGCTTAAGTAACCAACATTTTTGAACACCGTGGATTTTTTAATATAATCAGAAGGTNGAATCAGAGGGTTTAATCATTGAATTAATTGATTTCAGTAAAGATACATACAGTGAAGTACCCCCGCTTAAGTACCTAACCCGCTTAAGTAACCAACATTTTTGAACACCGTGGATTTTTTAATATAATCAGAAGGTAAATCCCTCTCTTAAGTACCTCCCCGCTTATTTATCCAACCCGCCTAAGTACCTCAATTTTTCGTGCCCCATTTACAATTTTACTTATAATTTTCCCCTTTTAAGTGCTCTTTAAAATTCTTTAAAATATTTACGTATTTACGGCAAAAAAAATTCAAAAAAATCAACGGTAACTTTTAGCCACTTGAAACTTGCACATTATTGTATTAAAATTGAATGGACTATAAAACTGTATACTCAAATAACNATTTACAATTTTACTTATAATTTTCCCCTTTTAAGTGCTCTTTAAAATTCTTTAAAATATTTACGTATTTACGGCAAAAAAAATTCAAAAAAATCAACGGTAACTTTTAGCCACTTGAAACTTGCACATTATTGTATTAAAATTGAATGGACTATAAAACTGTATACTCAAATAACACTTCTGAGAAAATAGTTTGAAATTATGATGAATTTTTTTTAAGTGTTCTACAAAATCTTAAGCTTAGGTTTATATGGTATTTGATAGGGAATGAACTGCATTTTAATTGATTGAAAAACTTTAAAAATTAATAAATAAACATAAGTGGCAAACAATATCATTTTGAATTTGGTAAAAAATGATATGTCCAACCTTGACTTTTTAAACAATTTAATTCTTGTAAAAAAGACAGGGCATTGCACTAAATATTTTTTTAAGAAAGTTTTTCTTTACTTGTTTATGTGTATAAATAATGCTACGATTTTGGTTTTAAACTATGTCTACTTCATTAAATGTTGTTATTCAAATATTTATGTAAGTTAACAAGAAGATGTAACTACATCAGTAATTATGTTCGCTTAAGTAGCCGCATTGAGGTACTTAAGCGGATCGTTTAAGTACCCAACCCGCCTAAGTACCTCAAAAAGCTGACATTTTTCGTGAGGTACTTAACCGGGTTTTACTGTATGTATATGGGAAGTTGTTACCAAAGAAAGATTAAAAAAAGTCTGCCTCACCACCCCAATGTCATGAAGAAGGTGGAAAAAACTTCAACATTCGCTTATCTGATAAATGTGTTTCAAAGTGATATGCAAATATTTAAAAAGCATGCATTTAATGTTAATTAAATAAAATAAAATAAAATTTTTAATACACCACCCTTTTATAAATGGCCTAAAAAGTAAAAAATAATATTTCTCAGTTCCATAGAATTTGTTTTGATAACTTTAGATTTTGAAATTTTAGCAAAAGTCATTATAAACAATTTACGAGATCGAAAATGAAAAGCGTGGGGCGCATGTAATAGACTTGCATTGATATAAAAAGTAATATATGTATGTACATATGTGGGTATATGAATAACGACCGCTTAAAATCGATCTCAAATTTGTACTTTCCCTGTAGAAATTTTAGGTCTATGTTATGTAGTTTGTGTTGCATGCGCTCCACCATGATAAAAAAACGAAGGTAGTTTCAATAAACAACTTTTGACGGATAATAAAATTTTTTGAAGTTTCATAAATTGTGAGTATTATCAACGCCTTTGCCACTTTGATAATATTAGCACAATAAATTGGAGTATTTTCTTTCTCATTTTTATACCAATGTAATAATATTTGTAATCAAAAATCATTATCAGTGCTTGGTATTTTTTACTACGAAATGCAAACTGTTAGAAGAGACTTCATCGTAATTGTTCTTTTTATTTTGTAATAAAAACCAGGGTTGTTGCGAATATTAACATTCGCAACCGCGGAGCTTCCGCATTAATTTTAACATTCGCTTTCGCATTCGCAATAATCAATGCGTAGCTTTTGCTAATGCGAATATTATGCAAGTGCACTGATAAGACGTATATCAGGGCAGACAAAATCACAAATTGTAGCCAATACTTTTTTCCTGTAGAGATGCTACGTTAAAAGTGCCCCCTACGGCCCCTTCTTTTGTAATTTAAAGTCAAAGAGTAAGATTCTTCAATAGGTATTTCCAGCGGAAATGTTCAACGGTTAGCTATAAGAAGAATCGAAAATTTCCGCGATAAAAGATAACCTCTAATTTGGTAAGAATTATGTAACTATCGAATATTATTTGTCAAAGGTCTGTTGAGAAAACAGCATGCATCGCTAGTTTTTTTTTGTACTTTTTCTTAGATAAGTGAATTTTTTTTTCATTTGCGTGAGTGCAGTGTAGCGAGACGCGGGGGTCATGAGCGCGGCGCGACCGGGCGAGGCGCGGTGCGGGGAGCCAGCAAATGTGCACCCGCCAGGTTATGCACTCGCAAAATTAAAACTTACATAAGTACATATATTTATTATTTATTTTCCAATATCCAATAAATCCGGAAATATTCAATAATTATTTATTTCATTTTATTAGTAATAATTTGTATCAATTTAAATAATTCAGTATCAATTTCAAATATTTTTCACTTTTGCCTCAATTTTATTCAGTATCGACAACTGGTGAGAGCCTGTACACACACATATTTTACGTTAACAGAATCGAACAAAAAACTTTATTCAGAATGGAACAAAAAATATTAATTAGAATTTCAACAACACTTTACAATTTAATAATGAATTACAACAAACACATTATTTGGACGTAATGTTCTCTACGGCGAAAAATTCAGATTCGCCGGTAACACCGCCTTATTAATTCGCCTTGAGAGTGTCATTTCAGAATATGGCTTTATTACTCATTTGCACAAATTTGAATACTACTTTATTTCACTTCTGGATTGGAAATAACGCCATATGGTTTTATTTCCAAAACAAAATGGAAATAAGACCATATGGCGTTATTGCACCCCACCATCGTTAGTATAGTAAATACAAAAAGCGGTAACTAACTAAAAATCCAAAATTCACTTTTTGATTGGTTATGACGCATTTCATCGAATTATAAATCCCCACATCGTTTTATGTAGTAAAAAAATTTTAGTTAGTTATGGCTTTTTTGCATTTCAGCGACATTGTGAAATACGCCCTTTCCATACTATACTAACGATAGATTGCATGCCAAAACGGATTTTATGGCTTATGGCACCGACCGCGGTGAGTAATTAATTGTGACTGCCTGCAACTAGGAAAAGTCGAGCTCAGCTAATAAAAAAACTAATTACAAGCTATTCATTACAGGTGAACATTTCAAGAAATCACCCGGGAACTAAGCAGATCTAAGACCTTCATCGTCCGTGATTCCAATAATTCATATTATTATTATAAATTCGACTGGCAGCCCCGACTTTCAAAAAAGAATTTTCTTCGAAATTTTCATTCCTAGAAAATAGCAATTTATTTGCCATATCCACCTATTTAGAACCTCGCTATAAGCACACATTTTTCAAACCAGTCGCAGAAGAAGGACTAAAAATTAATTACAAAAACTAAAATCGAAAAACGCTGATGACGTTACAGGTTCTACAAATTCTGAAACAATGAATGAAGAATCCTTTGGAAAACAACGGCTTTTAAACAACGATCTTGCCTTGATGCTAGATTGTGAAGATGAAAGTCCGGAGGATACGTCCGACATTTACAGCCTCGATGGAATTCTCAAAAAGGAAATATTCCACCGCAATAAAAAGAAAAATAAATATAACTGCAAGTCCTCTCAACTGTTGCCGCGTCAATCGAAAAGAATTTACAATTTTGCCAATTTCAAGACAATTTCAACACAAAAAAATAAAAAATTTTTTTTTTTTTTTATAGCGGTCACCCCTCGGCAGGCAAAACTCCGAGTGTATTTCTGCCAAAAATAGCTTCTCATAAAAAATAATCACCGTGTTTAAGCCGCCGCTTAAACTAAATTCAGCGGCCGTGCGCGCATCCTGTGGCCGCAGCGCACCTCGCTTTTCTCTGCTGCACTCACAAGCTAAGAGAACGTAAGTCAAAGCCCGCTCTCCGACTTGAATACGTTCGGTACCAAGAACTCACCTGAGCGGTGAGCGGCTCTTTACGTTCTATCATATCCACTTGTGCATTCCCGCACACATACATACATACGCACTGTAATCAAAAACAAACTTTCTGATTTTTCGTGCTTCTTAACTCACCACTGCTGTGACAAAGCATAGCTTAGCCATATACTCGGCTTCATACGTAAATATTTGTACATACATACGTACGTACATTTTTACATTCTACATATTCTGCACATTTGTACATACGTGCTAGCAAAAAATATTATCGAACGCATATTATAACGCGATAAGAAGTGAGTTCAAGATATTTAGATAAATGCAACCCAGTAGGGAAAACTTCCAAATTGCATTTGTTTAGATAAATAACCAATACTTTTTCAGTATTTACATAATTATTTATATCACATTAAATATTTATACATACGTATATTTCACCACGTATATAAAAGTGAAAAGTGTTTGTGATTTTTTTTCTCGTACTGAAATTTTTCAAATCCATATTCCGCGGATTTAATTGGGACGCTCCGTTTTCCACGTAATAAAAAGTGCTGAACCAAAATTTAAAGCAAATATAATTTCACATAATTTGCAAGAAATAAAAACACAAACATCGCCACAAAATCTTAAAATTTTTTTCCTGATTTTCTGTGGCACAAAGTGCAATTTTTACTCGTTTGACATATATTTTTCTAATTTTTTGCGAACGTTATCTGGGTGGTACTCAGCAAAATTTGATCAATTCTTATCTCAATTTTTATACGTTTGACCATCCACGAGAGTTAAAATGCCTCTTGGACACAGTCCACCAAAAATGTCTGAAATCGAGACAAGGTCAAAAAATGCTTCGCAAGAAGCCACCGGTGGTAAGAGGGAACCCTCACCGCGCCGGAAATCCAAAACTTTTGACCCATCCGCTCAAAAGTTTATAGCGGAAAGTGACAGTATCATGAGATATTGTGCAAAATTCAGTGATGCACCAATCCAAGACCACACTGAATCATATCTTATGATAAAAGACAAATCACTAGATGATTGTTGGGCACGGCTTCAGTCCGCCTATGATTTGGTTTTTTCAAAGCCAGATGACAGCCTACCCGAAAACTTTAAGAATTCGGTAGAAGGCAAGTACTTCACTTGCCTTGAATTATATGAGGTGACCAAAGCTAAAATTGCCGATCAACTGTCGTTGATTAGAGCAATCGCCGCACCGAGTCCACCACCCCGCGTGGAACACACCTCGGCAGAGGCAAACGTTTTCCTCCAAGTCCCACCTTGTGACACGGAGACATTTTACGGCGGTTACGAAGAATGGCCCGCTTTTCGTGACATGTTCACAGCGGTGTACATCAACCACCCGAAGCTCTCCCGTGCTCAAAAATTGTATCACCTCCGATACAAAACCCAAGGTAAAGCTGGCTCCATCGTCAAGCAATATCCGCTCAGCGACGATAACTTCGAGCTGGCCTGGGAAGCTTTACGGTCACGATACGAAAACAAACGTATCCTGGTTGACAACCAAATTAAAATTTTGATGACTTTGCCGACTATTCAATCCGAGAATAGCGAGCAACTTCAAAGGCTGCAAACATCAATTAACAACTGTCTGTCAGTTCTTAATTCCCAAGACGTCCAGACAGACAGTTGGGATCCCATATTGGTGTACATATGCTCATCCAAATTGCCCGAAACCACACTGTCACTTTGGGAACAATCTCTCTCTTCTCGAAGAGATTTACCCTCATGGTCACAAATGGACGATTTTCTTACTTCAAGATACGAAGTAGTCGAAAGACTTAACCGGCTTCATCCAAGCCAAAATAAACAAAAACCAGTCGCTCATCAAAATGCTGCGCAAAACAGGTCCTTTAACAGGACTCAAACCTTTGTGGCAGAACCTAAGAGGGAACCAACTTGCTCTTACTGCAAGTCCCCTCATCCCATTAGAGTCTGCCCACAATTTAAGCGAATTTCGGTACCGAACCGAGTACAATTCGCAAACCAAACCAAGCTGTGCAAAAACTGCCTTGGTAATACCCATAGCACTAATGAGTGTCCGAGCAAGTGGTCATGTACACATTGCCAACAACGGCATCACTCCCTGCTGCACATGAATCCCAAACCACAATCTCGACACTCCAGTGCGCGAGCGAATGAAACCGCCGCACAACACACTACTGCCCAGTCGACACCTCCCGCTCGACAAGCGCAGTCAAGCTCCGATTCCAGCGAGCAACCGTGCTGTTCCAAACAAGCACAAATACAATCATTGCACACCGACAATGATAGCAAAATTCTCCTTCCAACTGCCATAGTCGCAGTTGAACACGAGGGTGAATTGTTTCAACTTAGAGCCCTGATTGATCAAGGCTCACAAAGAACTTTCATTTCCTCGAAAGTTCAAAAACGGTTGAAACTACCATTCGAACATTCCAAGTTCGAAATTTCCGGCATGGGTGGACATGTAGTACAAAGCTCCTCAAAGCTTTGTCCACTCACATTGGTAGCACCAAAAACCATGCAACGGATAAACACACAGGCTATCGTGTTACCTCAGCTCACGAGGCACATGCCTACATTCACCATTAGCCGTGAAAACTGGCAGCAATTCAAGATCCTTGAACTTGCTGACCCAAGCTGTCACATACCAGCTCAAACTGACATGGTAATCGGCAGCGATATACTTCCACAAATCCTGCTGGAAGGTATACAAAATATTTGCGACACTATACTTGCGCAAAAAACAATATTTGGCTGGATTCTCAGTGGTCCAATAACCGAAAATGTGGTGTCATTCTCGACACAAGTAGAAGAGTGCTCGAATGCAACTCTCAGCTCTCAGCTTCGAAAGTTTTGGGAAGAGGAGGAGATTCCACAACCTCCACAAATTTCCCCTGAAGATCAGGCATGTGAGCATATATATGCAACAACAACGACTCGTGCCCCAAACGGTCATTACATTGTGAGACTTCCATTCAAGGAAGAATTTCCAAAAAAGCTGTCTCTGGGCCACTCTCGGTCTGCTGCACTTCAGCAGTTTTTCAGTATGGAGCGATCGCTTCAGAAAAAAGGAGACTTAGCCACAATGTACAATAATGTGTTGCAAGAGTATCTCGACCTCGGTCATATGGAGTACAGGAAGCCATGCGAGATAATTTCCAATGGCAAATACCTCTCTTTCTACTTGCCACATCATGCGGTCGTCAAACCAGATAAGGTGACCACCAAAGTTCGCGTGGTATTCAACGCCTCAAAAACATCTGGTTCAGGAAATTCCCTGAATGACGTGTTGCACACTGGTCCCACACTCCAGCCAGATCTCATGCTGCTCATTCTGCAGTGGCGAATGCACAGATTCGTGTTCAATGGCGACATTGAAAAAATTTATCGTCAAATACTCATGCATAAGGACGATAAAGATTTTCAGCGAATCTTATTTCGCACATCGGCTGACTCTCCTGTCACCGATTATAATCTTAAAACCGTAACGTTCGGGGTTAATTGTGCACCATACCTCGCTATCCGTACCCTGCATCAATTAGCAGATGATACGATAGCGACATTTCCCTTGGCTGCCACAATACTTAAAACCGAAACGTATGTGGATGACATCCTATCCGGAAGTCATGATATTGACAACGCCACTGAATCACTTCTTCAAGTGATCAAAGCGCTTAAGTCAGCTGGTTTCATACTCAAGAAACTAACGGCCAATCATCCGGCCATCTTAGAAAAATTTCCAAAGGAGGATCTTCTCGACTCCAACTTTTTGAAATTTGAGAGCGCTTCCACAACCAAAACTCTTGGTATACAATGGAACGCACTCACAGATAAATTTTCATACACCATTCTGCCTGCATCGACATCGAATGCCGTCACAAAGCGACAAATTTTATCTTCTGTCGCAAAACTTTTTGACCCGGCAGGATGGCTATCGCCAGTGATGATTCAAGCAAAGATTCTTCTTCAAGAACTTTGGCTAGATGGCGTTGATTGGGACGAATGTGCCAAACCTATATCTTTAGCAAAATGGCAACAGTTCGCAGAAAATCTGCCAGCTATCTGCCACATCGAAATCCCTCGATGGGTTAATTTCACTCCGGGGCAAGATACCCAAATCCACGGGTTTTGTGATGCCTCGGAAAAAGCATATTGCGCTGCGATTTACATCCGCGTAGATGCTAGCAACCAAAGATATTCCACTCTCTTGGTTGCAAAAAGCAAAGTCGCACCATTGAAGACGGTAAGCTTGCCACGCCTGGAGCTGTGTGGTGCAGTCTTACTCGCAAAACTGGTCGCAACTGTTCGAAAACAGCTCAAATTGGAATCGTGCAACACATTCTTATGGTCAGATTCAGAGATTGTGCTAGCTTGGCTTGAAAAGCCACCATGTACATGGAAGACGTATGTATCCAATCGTACCTCCCAAATCCGGGAATATCTTCCAACCGGTACATGGCGCCATGTTGCCAGCCAAGATAATCCAGCCGACCTCGGCACCCGCGGGTGCAAACCGCAGGATTTGGCGAATTCCCCACTCTGGTGGCACGGACCAACATGGCTCTCTTGCCACATGGATGCATGGCCAAGGTCAAAGGCATGCAGTGCATCTCCACCAGAAAAGCGCAAGGTGGAGGCATATCACGCGCTCGAAGAAGAGGTCGATTTTCTTGATCGCTTTTCTTCTTTCTCTCGAGCACTCCGCGTGACTGCGTACATGTTCCGCTTCGTGAGCAATGCCCGCAACAAATCAAAGGGGTTAGCTACAATCACCTATCCACATCTGACACATAACGAATTTCAATATGCAAAAATTCATCTTATCAACGCAGCGCAATCACGCCATTTTCCGAGCGAAAAAAGCGCTTTGCAAGATAAAAAGCCACTTAACAAAAAAAGTCCTCTTATTGTTCTCAATCCTTCGTTGGACAAAGACGGACTTTTACGGGTTAATGGCCGATTAGCACATTCCACATTAAGCTATAATGAAAGGCACCCAATAATTCTCCCTACCGAATCGAGGTTCTGCCAGCTATATTTGGAGTTTTTACACTCGCTGCTTCTTCACGCAGAAACACGATTAATGCTCCAAATGGTAAGGCAAGAGTACTACGTACCAAAGCTAAAACCTCTAATTAAAAAATGCATTTTTCAATGCAAAGTGTGCACGCTTTACAAGCAACAAACACGCACCCAAATAATGGCCGCTCTACCCCCTGAGCGCTGCAGTTTCTCACTCCCATTTTCCACAACGGGAGTAGATTTTGCTGGGCCATTCCAAATTAAAGCATCGGTGCTAAGATCTACAACCCTTATCAAGGGATACGTTGCAGTTTTTGTCTGTTTTTCCACAAAGGCAGTGCATCTCGAGCTATGCTCGGATCTTACAACCGAAGCTTTTCGAGCAGCATTCGCCCGCTTCGTTGGCAGACGAGGTTTTCCCTCAAAAATGATGAGCGACAATGGAAAAACGTTCATTGGCGCCCAGCGCGCAACAGAACGCGACTTCGTTAAATTCCTTAACGAATGTTCCGCAGACATTGTCAAAAAATATGCCCCTCAAGGCATCAACTGGCAATATATACCACCCAGCGCCCCCCACATGGGCGGCTTGTGGGAATCTGCAGTGAAAAGCTTTAAAATCCATTTAAAGAAAACCGCTGCAACCCACAAGTTCACTTTCGAAGAATTCACGACGCTTCTGGTGCGAATTGAAGCAGTCCTCAACTCGAGGCCTCTATCCGCACTTTCTCAAGACCCAGCTGATATGACAGCACTTACTCCGGGTCACTTCCTTCGAGGTGCACCGCTGTTGGCCATTCCCGAGTCTAATGCGGAAAACCTCTCTCTACTAAACCGGTGGGAGAAAGTCAAAGCACTTCACCACCAATTTAGTCGCCGATGGAAAGAAGATTACTTCAAAGATCTTCAGAAGAGATACAAGTGGAAAACCCCACAAAGCGATCCTCAGCCAGGCGACATCGTCGTGATCAAAGAAGNACCTCTCTCTACTAAACCGGTGGGAGAAAGTCAAAGCACTTCACCACCAATTTAGTCGCCGCTGGAAAGAAGATTACCTCAAAGATCTTCAGAAGAGATACAAGTGGAAAACCCCACAAAGCGATCCTCAGCCAGGCGACATCGTCGTGATCAAAGAAGATTCACTCCCCCCCACCGAGTGGCGATTGGGACGAATCGAAAACGTTCGCCATGGCCCTGATAACCACATACGTGTCGTGGAAGTCCGTACACAAAATGGAGTTATCACGCGGCCACTTGTCAAACTGTGCTTCCTTCCAAAAGCACAATAGATAATTCTATACATATTTTCCTTCTGTATATTAAGGGTCTTAACTTCCCGTTTAAACATTGTACCCAAGTACTTCTCGTTTATCTGCCTTTGCTTCTACTTCCAGATCGAAGACATCATGGCAGCACGGAAGGCGTGCCCCCTGGCTCCAACGGCAGAAACAGACAACTGCCTACAATGCCGGCTCTGCCACCGTTACCACGTATTGCGGACGTGCCCGGCCTTCAAGGCGATGAAGCCGCCGCAACGGTTGGGAGTAGCCCGCGCGCAAGGCTACTGCGTCAACTGCCTTGCGCTCACCCACACTACCGGGGAATGCGACTCGCCGGGTAGTTGCAAAACCTGTGGCTTAGCGCACCATACGCTGCTGCATGTGGCAGCTAACAGGCCCGCGCGCACAGGCCAACGAAACCAGCAGCCCAACCGGGCCAAATCGACATCATGCAAGCCCATCAAGCGGAGGGCACCGCCGAAGAAAGGTGGGCAGAAGAAGGCGCAGAAGAACCCGCGCAACCAGGCGCCGCAACCGCCGCGCAAGAAGACCGCCCACCGGACGATCGCGCGCACTCCCCAAGGCCTACAAATGGCCAATTTCCAGGGCCGCACCACCCACCGCGTCCTTGGCAACACGATCCGCGCCCTGAAAGAGCTGCAGGAGACGCTCAGCAACGCATTCCTGCAGGGCGGGGACGATGTTTAAGCCGCCGCTTAAACTAAATTCAGCGGCCGTGCGCGCATCCTGTGGCCGCAGCGGTGTGAAGTTCGAAAAATGATTAACGAGCGCGCACGGCCGCTTCCCATCATCGGGCCAAATGAGAGACCAGACAGTTCAGCTATTAACGTCGGACATCGCGCACGCGCCCATTTAGCATTAGCATTTGGTGATTCTTACAAGAGTCAATAATAAAAACGCTTGTAAATTAACTTCAATTGTGGTGTACAAATAAACACAAAAATATTTGAATTTCTGATCTGAAACAAAAACCTTTCCTTTATCGGAAAAAGTTTGTGTGTGTAAAGAGGTGAGTGCGAAGGGACCAAGCGAGAAATATTCACACCGTTTGGAGTCAGCGTAAAACTGTAGGTCCCTCGCTTTGTGTGACAACATCAAGGCACACGCCGTAAATCGGAGGATTATTATTATTATTATATTTCGGTCGAAATTTACTTTTAAATATCTCATCATATTTTGCAAAAAATTTGGCTTTGTGGTTAGCATATCAGTGTCAAATTTTGATTTTAAAATTTCCAATATATGCAAAAAACTTGTTTTTGACTTGTACAGACCGCCCCCCGTAAACAATTAACATAAGCATTATTTTGATCACTTTCTTCATGCATTCTGAGACCTAGTTTTGTCAACCCGATTTTTGAAATCATGTAGCCGGCAAAATTTTCAAGTCCATCATATTCCACATCTTTGAGTGGACTGTTGAAATCTTCTGCTTTACAAAAAAAAATTAAATCTAGGGATCAGGTAGCATGAATTTGCTGAAATGCCATAATATTATTAAAAGTGAAGTGGTTAACAACAACAACGAATGTCATTAAATGGGACTACCTTCTTTTTATTAATATTGTTACCTCCCTTTTATTAGCTCGGGATGTAACTATGTAATATTGATGCGCCTAAAAGATGCAGCGATTTCTATTCTCAAGTTTCATACCTGATGAAAGTACGAATGGAAATTACAATAGCGAGGTTTTAGTTTTTTAAGCTATAATTTTATTGTATCATGCACTCCACGTTTTTCGTTTTCAATCCCATAGAATTTGTTTTAATAACTTTTGATTTTGAAATTTTAGTAAAAGTCATTATAAACAATTTATGAGATTAAAAACGAAAAACGTGGAGCGCATGCAATACAAAGCATTCGATTTAATTGACAATAGTCAAATTACATAACATAGACCTAAAATTTCTACAGCGAATATTTTTATTTATTTTTTCATAAAATGATGTGGGGAGTTTAAATTCGATGAAATCCATCATGTAAATCAAAAAGTGAATTTTGAATTTTTTATTAGTTATGACTAGGGATAAATCGATACAAGTAAATCCAAGTACATACTCGATACTTTTCTCAATTTACCAAGTATTTTTGTACTCTATACTTTTTACTTCGATTCAAGTAGGTATCGAAAAAAAAGTACTTGTATCGGAAGCGCAAAACTTATTATGCTTCAGCATCTTCTTTGCAACCCATTAGAGGAATTGGAAGATATGCGCAATACATTTCTGCAGCTATATAAGCAAGCCCGTCGATACAGTGTTGCCGTTGTGCGCCTAAAGGGGCAATTTGCCCTTTTTGAGCGCCAATACCCTTTGACCCAACTTTTCCAAAATTATGTGCAACCTTTGCGCCTTTTCAGAGACTTTTTTTAGGAAATGCTAACAGAACTATACAATCAAAAAATATTTCCTCCTGTGAGTACGAAAAAATGCATCACTTAAAACTTTTAAGGGAAATGTAACTCTTCTCGATTTATGTGTATGTTTTCAACCTTGTTTTGTGAAAAGCTTGTCTCACTAATTTCTTTTTAAATCCAACAAATTTATTCTTTTACTAGTAAAGAAAAGCAAAAATAATATGGTGACCCTTTTTTCGTCAATGGATCCCTTTTTTTGACTTTCTGAAAATTCTCAACGGCAACGCTGCGTCAATACATAACGGTTGTGAAACGGGTGGTGAAATAACATAAACGGCAATAACCAAAATTTGCTTTATTTCACTTTTAAATGAAAGGAAAATCTGAGTTTTGCTTTATTTCCAACCAAGGTTGGAAATAAAACAAATTTTGTCTTATTTCCCATTGCTTATTTATACTATTTGTTACAAAAGCAATTTACTGACCAGAAGGAAAAATAACTTTGTTTATTCCAAAAATACCATTAAACAAAAAATGTGATATAATTCATATGAAGAAAGTAATATTCACAAAATATTTTTACTTATGAAAAGTGTAACAAAATATAGGAAAAGAGTCGTCTTTAATAACTGCTCAGCAAATTGAACACTGCATGAATTTTATCTGCATGCCTTTTTAAATGTGTTGAAAACATTGCTGGAAAACCTTAAAATGTTTGCATGGAACCATGGCGCAATAAACAGGACGCGATCGGGTGGCGCAGGCGGCGCGCGAACGTGGACCGCTGCGACGCTGGCACTTTCAAAATTGTATACTTACAAATCCGTCCATTTAACTTGTTCATGTACTACTTTTTGTTAAATGTAACTGGGTGACTACCTACAAATGTGCACTATTTTGTTTTATTACTCAAATTGTTAAGTTTAAAACTTGGAATTATTGCTCAACGAGAAATGAAATAAAGCAAATTTGAGTTATTTCACATTGAATTGCGAAATAACACAAATAACACGTTATTTTCGTTTGTGTTATTGTGAATTTCTAGTGCAGAAGGGCTGGTAAGTATTGAAAATGTCATTTTAAAATTTTATCCTTGAAATTTCGCAATATATGTTGGAATTTCGTTCTTCTCATTTTGTCAGCTTAAAAATTAGCTATTCGTCCTGGTGAATCCAGAAAATCTAAATTTTTTAAATTCTAAAGAAATTTCCTATTACATTTCACTATAGGTAAAATTATAACTTTTGTTGGCCAAAACCCTAAAGAGATAAAAAATACAGTTCTTGTTGAAGCATTAATCTTAACATGGTAAAGAAATTGACGATTTGAAAATTTACCAGTCCCACAATCATTATCTTAACAAATTTGCACAACTTTTTTTTTAACATTAAAAATCTATATATTAATACGCTAACATAAATTTTGTCTCCATTCGTTTGGCGATTCTACCGAACCGATTTCAAAACCAAGAACACCGTTGGAAAGGCAGAGTTTTTAAGGTTTCACAATTGGTTGAAAATTACGGCCAAAACCGTCGTTTAAACATTTTCGAATTGTGTATACATGTTGCTGCAACATGTTCAATTTGACATGTTTCGCCTGTTGCTTCACTACACATTTGAAATTAAGCTTTGAAATAAAGATAAATATGAAGATGAAGAAATAAATGATAACGATGAAGTAAAAAAAAAGTAGGCAAAAGTGAAGATAAAGTCGAAAATGGAGACAATGACCGATACATAAGAATTAGGGTAACTGAAATGGTAAGAACATTTTTTGAATTTATGAAGTGAAACTTCTTTAGCGGCAGTTGGTTGGGAGTAAATCGTCAAATTCGAGGGGAATAATGCACATGGAAATGGTACTCAGCGGTTTAACGGTTTGAGAATAAAAACAAAAACAAAGATGCCTAGAGGTTCAGGCAAAAACGATGATCAAAGTAAATTTAAACACTTTAAGGTAAAGGTGAGAGGAATATGCAAAAATAAAGATAAATATGAAGAAAAGGATGAGGTGAAGATCGATATTGTTATCGATATAATCCCGATATTTTTATCGATATAATAATCGACATTGCTATCGATAAAATAATCGATGTTGTTATCGATACTGTTATTGATTAAATAACAGCTATTGTAATCGATATAATAATCAATATAATAATCTATATTGTTATCGATACAATAATGGATATTGTTATTGGTATAATAATCGATTAAATAATTGATTTATATTGTTATCGATATGTACAATAATCGATACTGATGATTGTTATATTTATCGATGAATTAATCGATTTTGCAATCGTTGTATTTTTCTATATGTTTATGGATATCGTTATCGGTATTTTTATCGGCACAGTTATCAACAGGGTTATCCATATAAAAATCGGAACATGGAATGTGATCACATTAAATGACATCACATCACATTATATCACATGATATGAAGAGACTTCACATGACTTGACATCACATGATATATCATCGTATGATATGACATGGCATTACATGACGTGGCATCACATGATATGACATCATATGGTATGACATCATATGACATGACATCAGAGGATATGACAACACATGACATGACATCCTATCACATCACATAAAATCACGTCATCGCAACTCATCTCATCTACGTGAATAGAAAAAGAAAAGGATACAAGCAAAGATGTGAAAGATAAAAACAAAGATGAAGACCAAGGTAAAGTTACCGATTTCAAAACCAAAAACACCGTTGGAAAGGTAATTTTCTGTAGATGAGGAAAGTTTTTGTAGTTTCGAAATTGGTTGAAAAGCGTCGTTTAAAAATTTCCATATTTGTGTATGGTTGTTTTTGCAACCTGTTCAATTTAAGCTGTTTCGCATTTTGTTTTACTTCGTATTTGAAATTAAACTTTGAAATAAAGATAAATATGAAGATGAAGAAACAAGTGATAACGATGTAGACAAAAAAAAGGCAAACNTCAAAATATATCGATTTATCGAAATTTCAAGGTTATATAAGCTTATCGATTTATCACTGCTTATCGAATTTAATCGTCTTAACAGAGTGTAACGAGTTATCAAAATGTTTAGATAGTTTTCGAAAAATGTGGAGATGTCAAAAGTAAAAATTTATAAAGGTATCAAAAGTTTTTACATTTTTGAGTTATCGAAATTTATCGAGCCATCGGATTTCACAGTTATCGAAATTGGTCGAGTTAACGATTTTTGTTGAGTTATCGAATTTTAGTGTTCTGGAAATTCATCGAACTATCGATATGTATTAAATCATTGAAATTTATCGATAAACTTGAATGAATCGGGTCAATTCCAAGTCCTG